AAAAACATATCCTTAGTTGTTGTCGTGGGTCGCTCTCATTGAGAACAGCACAACGAATTATGAATATGATCATAGTGTGGAAATGAAATATTATAAAAATTAAATGAACAAAAAAAAATTGTTTCACTGTCACGAATTATGATTATAATCATCATCAAGATTATGTCACAAGACATAACTTTTTTTAGTGTTGTAAATGTGATGTAGGAAGTGGAGAGCCTAATTCCAGTAGTAACAACAACAGTATACAATCTTAAGGGACAGAAGCCACGTGAGGTATTCGAAGAAGCTCATGAGCCACTCCGGAAAGAAGCAGAGGAATGGATGAAATACACTGCTTCTGCTTGTAGCTTCGTCGCAGCTCTCATTGCAACGGTTACATTCCAAGCCATATTCACTGTCCCTGGAGGTACAGATGACTCATCTGGGGACCCTCTCCATCTGACAGACTCTCGTTTCATGATCTTCACAATCGCCGACACGCTATCCTTCTTCGCGTCTTGTACTTCCGTCCTAATATTTCTCACTATCCTAACCTCGAGATACTCATTTGATGACTTCCTCGTCTCACTACCCAAAAAGATGATTTTGGGTCTCTCCATTATGTTCTTCTCCATAGCAGCCATGCTTGTGGCCTTCTCAACTGCGCTTTTCACGATGCTACGCAAGACGCCATTGCTAGTGATTCCGGTATTGCCACTAGCTTGCCTACCCGCCACGCTCTTTGTGTTGCTCCAGTATCCTCTTCTCAAGGAGATGATTTCGTCTACATATGGAAACAACCTCTTCAAACGTGACACCAAACCTTGGTTCTAAATTTGAGCTCAAATTGTTTGTTGTGATATTTCATGATACAAACCCTATCTATTGCGTGCCTAAAAATAAAAATAAAAACATATCTATTGTGAAATGTGTGTATAGCTTAAAGCTAAAACTACTACTATCTATCTCTTTGTTGGTGGTTTTCGATCTGCTTCGCTTGTTAAGTGACGTTTTTCTCTTTGTATTGACAAGACACTCATTCTATCACTCTATCGTTCTGAAGCTTTTGATCATTTTCAACTCTTAGCGTCAGTTATCCAATAGAAGAACGACATGTCACCACGCACGTGGCATGATAACTGATTAGGTAAATTTTTGGATTATCTCTTAATAACCCCTCATCTTTCTAAAGGACTCACTCTCACCTAAACTTAGTTTGCATATCAATCACCCAATTATCTGAAGAAGCTAGAGCCCTATCGCCGAGTGAGAAACTCGTGAATCAGTTCGGAAATCGATTCCCTTACCAATGAAAATCCGATTAGACTGTTTGGAATTCGGTCTCCGATCAATGAATTGCTATTTCGATGGTTTTGGTTTGTACGAGGATGTCAGTTACAAGAGTCTCCAGGAATTGCTGAAGGAAGATGGTCGTAGTGGAAGTTCCATTAACGGAATGCTCATAACAAAGCTGGGTAAAAATGTGATATTTTCTTTGTAAGAGATGGATTTAGTGAAGTCTGTATCATCAAAAGATCGAATTTCTTAGGACAAGAATCTTTGTCCTTCCTTTTCATGTCTTCACTTCTTACTACTTCTTCTCATAGTCTTGGTCCAGTGCTCGATATTATCTACCAATTCAACAAGTTTAAATATTTTCTCTAGCTAATGATTTTGTTTCTCCAATCATGCATATGATCCATGTTGAAACATACAACGAAGATTGATTTTTTTATAATTTTGAATGTCACTTGCAGTTTCTTTATGTTTAGTTTGAAACTTTCATTGTCAACTAATCATGAGAACTACTAATTGTTTGGTTTCAAAAAATTATCCAACTTGAAATATTTGTCAACTGACAAAAGACTACTACAAGTCGTTGCTACGGTATTAACAGATCATAGTTCTTGCATATCCAAATTGACTTGAAAGCATTTTATAGTATTTGATTTCAAGAGATAGTGCTTTACCATCAGCCAACATGGCTATAGAATAATCTTTGGAATGAAAAATATTGGAGAAAGAAACAAGATTTACAGAAGAAGATGATATTGAGTTTTCTATGAGTAAGCGCTGATCAAGAGCTTTTCTCACTAATGGCGCGTTACAACTTATGTTTGCAGATTTCATTTGCAAGCTTCTTCGCTGTTCTAGTTCTTCTTGTTCGTGCTCAAGACCAATCAGGTACACAAATTCTTGCAGATGTATAAGTATGGCTGCGTTTTTAAGGCTTTTAATCTCTATATGTGTGTTTATATTACAGGTTTTGTCAGTATAGATTGCGGTATACCAGACGATTCAAGCTATAACGATGAAACAACAGACATAAAGTACATTTCAGATGCTGCTTTTGTTGAGTCTGGGACAATTCATAGCATAGATCCTAAGTTTCAGACAAGTTCTCTTGACAAGCAGTTTCAAAGCGTTAGGAGCTTCCCTGAAGGCAAGAGAAATTGTTACGATGTCCAGCCTCCGCAGGGAAAAGGATTCAAGTATTTGATCAGAACCCGTTTCATGTACGGTAACTATGATAATCTAGGGAAAGCACCAGAGTTCGATCTTTATCTTGGTGTGAATCTCTGGGATTCAGTTACTATAGATAATGCAACTACGATAGTTACCAAAGAGATCATCCACACTCTTCGTTCAGACCATGTTCATGTGTGTCTTGTTGATAAAGATAGAGGAATTCCATTCCTGTCTGTGTTAGAACTCAGGCTCTTGAAGAGTGATACATACGAGACTCCTTATGATTCAATGATGCTGTTTAAAAGATGGGATCTTGGGGGACTCGGTAATCTTCCTATCAGGTGAAAAGGAATACTTTCTTTGTGATGAGTTCTGTTTTTTTTTTTGTCTTTCTTCTTAAAAGTTGGTAAATAATATAGGTACAAAGATGACGTTTTTGATCGGATATGGATACCGCTGAGGTTTCCAAAGTATAAAATCTTCAATGCGTCGCTCACAATAGATTCAAATAACAACAACGGATTCCAACCCGCTCGCTCTGTTATGAACACTGCAACTTCACCTGAAGATTTAAGCCAAGACATAATCCTTTATTGGGAACCACTGGATCCTACTTGGAAGTACTATGTGTATATGCATTTTGCAGAAGTTGTGGAACTGCCAAGTAATGAGACAAGAGAATTCACTGTGCTTCTAAACAAAAAGTCAATCAACATGTCTGTGTTTAGCCCGCGCTACTTGTATACAGATACGCTTTTCGTTCAGAACCCTGTGAGCGGACCAAAACTTGAGTTTCTTCTTAAACGCACTGCTAAATCTACGCTTCCACCAATCATTAACGCCATTGAAACATATCGTGTCAATGAATTTCTTCAGTCACCTACTGACCAACAAGATGGTATGACTTCATATTCTGAAACATAACTTCACTGTTTTCATAAGTAACTTTATACTTATCCATGTTTCGCTTGAATTGTAGTTCATTCAATTATGATGATCAAATCCAATTATCGAGTGAAGAAGAACTGGCTTGGAGATCCTTGTGCTCCAGGTAGATATCCTTGGAAGGATATCAACTGCAGCTATGTTGGTAACGAGCCTCCGAGAATCGTTTCTGTGTACGTATTTTAACAAATGTTTGTATATGTTTTTGCTTTCTCGCTCTCATCTCACAAGAGTTGTTTGATTTGCAGGAATTTATCCTTAAGTGGCTTGGCTGGCGAGATTGATCCAACCTTCTCTAACCTTACTTCGATACAGAAACTGTTTGTATTTTTTTCGATTTGAATATGGAATCGTTAGTACAAAGAGTTGTAAAATCTTTAAATGATACAACCAAAATGTCATTTCAGGGACTTATCAAACAACAATTTAACAGGAAAAGTACCCAATTTCCTCGGAAATCTACATAACTTAACGGAGTTGTAAGTCATACTAATTGGAATTGTAGATTACATAAACGATGACATGCATTACTTGGTATTTGATCTCACGTAAATGTCTGCAGAAACTTGGAAGGAAACAAGTTAACGGGTGCTCTTCCGGCGAAACTACTAGAGAGATCAAGGAGTGGATTGCTTTCGCTGAGGTTGGTTCATGGTTATCTTTGGTTTCAACTTTCAATCTAAGTTTTGGCCTGTTAGGTTCAGCTTTTGATAATGTCTCTGCATTTTAATTGTAAGGTTTGACGGGAATCCAGACCTCTGCGTGTCTGCTTCATGTCAAAATCCGGATTTGAAGACAAAGAAGAGTGTGTATATTATTCCAGTAGTAGTATCTGTCGCAGGAGTGCTTGGTCTTGTACTAGCAATTACTTTGTTTTTGCTGTACAAGAAGAGACATCAAAGTGGTAACATCAAGCAACGATCACAAATTGTTTATTCTTTGATTTATAGGATTACTTGTAAGAAAAGTTCTCGTTATATCTTTACAGGCGGCTCTCATAGTGTTAGGACTGGGCCATTGGACACCACAAAACGATACTACAAATACTCAAAAGTTGTGAAAGTTACAAACAACTTTGAGAGAATTCTTGGACAAGGAGGTTTTGGAATAGTATACCACGGTGTCTTAAATGATGACCAAGTTGCTGTTAAGATTCTATCTGAATCATCGGCTCAAGGTTACAAAGAGTTCAGAGCAGAGGTCAGTTTCTTGCATTTTAAAGGTTTATTGTTTATAAAGTGAATTATAAAGTAATTGGGAATATGCATCCACTTGTTTATCATCAGGTTGAACTTCTCCTGAGAGTCCATCACAAGAACCTAACTGCTCTTATCGGATACTGCAACGAAGGCAAGAAGATGGCACTTATCTACGAGTTTATGGCTAATGGAACCTTAGGAGATTATTTGTCAGGTTAGTCTCTCTTCTACTTAGTTTTGGACCTTTTGGTCACTGGCATTTTTTGCTGCTACAGCGAGAAGAAAAACTAAACTTATTTTTTGGTTTCTTTCCTAATTAAGGGAAGAAATCTTATGTCTTGAGCTGGGAGGAGAGGTTACAGATATCATTGGATGCAGCACAAGGTTTGTGATAAAATGATCTCGTAAAAAACAGAATAAGAAATCAGAAAATTAAATCAAATAAAATTATTCTTTTCCTGGTCTGAAACTCAGGGCTTGAGTATCTTCACAATGGCTGCAAGCCACCCATTGTACAAAGAGATGTGAAGCCAGCTAATATTCTAATCGACGAGAAGCTCCAGGCCAAGATTGCTGACTTTGGGTTATCTAGAAGTGTCGCACTGGACGGTAATAACCAGGATACAACCGCTGTTGCTGGGACTATTGGTTATCTTGACCCCGAGTAAGTAAAAAGCTTCTTCTATTGTGTTTTGGTATTAGCTGTTACGGTTTCTAAGGCATTGTTTTACAAAATGAAGGTACCAGTCGACGCAAAAATTAAGCGAGAAGAGTGATGTATACAGCTTCGGGGTGGTTCTTTTAGAAGTTGTCACGGGCCAACCGGTGATTGCACGTTCAAGAACAACAGCAGAGAATATACACATAACCGACTGGGTTGAGTCGCTTCTGTCCACAGGAGATATCAGAGGCATTGTGGATCCAAAGCTAGGAGAGAGGTTTGATGCTGGTTCGGCATGGAAGATCACTGAAGTAGCAATGGCTTGTGCGTCTTCTAGCTCTAAGCATAGACCGACAATGAGTCAGGTAGTTGCTGAGCTGAAGGAGAGTGTAAGCAGAGCAATAGGTGCTGGTGGTTATTCTGGCGCTAGTAGTAGTTTTACTACAGAGCCCGCGATGTCGGCTTCTGACTCGGGAATGTTTCCTCAGGCGAGGTAAAGATGATTTGAGTTTTTAATTTACAGAAACTGGAAATTTCTGTGTGGTGTGTAGTGTGATTT